TGTGTGTGGCCAGTACCAACATTCCCTCTGTGTGTGCGTTTTCCCCAGATTTCTGGCTGCTCAAGTCCTCCCAGAACGTTTTCGGCACAGTCACGTGTTGCCCAGGTTGTTTCTCCATGTTTCGGGCCAGCGCCCTGGCCCCTCTGCTACCCCGGGTGTGTGAACCCACGCAGTCTGCGGCCGACGTCTACTGGAAGGACACAGGTTCGAGTCTCCAAGATATTGTAGTGTTGTGAGGGCCGTTAGCTAGCTGTTCTCATGATCGCCAGAGCTTTATTCGATCTCTCTATATGTCCCCATGGCATCCATTTAATGATGTCCTCAAGTTGTCCACTAAGTGTCTCAAAGATTCTAAATGTCCTCAAAATGTCCTCTTAATGTCCTTAAGATGTCCACTTAATGTCCTCGAGATGTCCACTAAATGTTTTCAAGATCCTAAATGTCCTCAAGATGTCCACTAAATATCCTCAAAATGTATACTTAATGTCCTCAAGATATTCACTAAATTTCCACCAAAATGTCCACTAAATATCATCAAGATGTCCAATAAATATAATAAAGATATCCTTTAAATATCATCAAAATATCCTTGATGCCCAATAAATGTCTCAAAGATGTCCCCCATTCGTCAACTCTTTCGATCTATCCACCAGGCGAGGACCGCTGGCTGACCGTCCTCATGATCCTCCAGGGCTGGTCACTCAGCTACCTCAGCGACGCCACCTGTGTGACGTCATGTCCGGACACCTTCCCAGAATTTCTGAGACAGCGAAAGCGTTGGATCCTATCGGACTTGGCCAATGACCTACTTCTGCTCAAAAACTCGACCTCAGTCGTGAGAAGGAACGACAGCATCTCCCTACTCTACGTCCTCTACTTGTGTCTGCGTGAGTTCTTTTTTTAGTAAACGTTTTAAGGCACTTGCGACAAATTTAGAGTTATATAAGTTTCGGAATCTTCATCAGCAGTTGCCTGCTTACTGGTGTCGTTGGTCTAGTGGTTAGGGTGTGGGACTCTCTTGTTTAGTTTTAGTAAGCGTTTTCCATCAATTGCAATAAAATTAACTCATATTATTATAAGTTCCGAAGATTGAAAGTGTCACTACAAATGAGAAGCAAACACATAAAGAAGAAATTAAGAAAAGGACAATAGACGTTTGATAAGAAGCAAACACACCAGAGCAACCGCCAACCACCCACTCTCTGCAGTGAACACTTCTGCTATTGTTTATAAAGGGCATTTATTGTTTTTAAGGCCCTCATCGATACAATTTAGTAGTTAGATTATTTAGGAGACGAGCTTCTGACCCTTCCAGCTCGAGCCTATCCGGGATGAAAGGAATACAACATCCCAGCAGAAACACCGAGATACTTGACGATTCTTCCCACTCGGGAATCGAACTCAGGTCTCCTACACACGACAGCAAAAGTGCCCTAACCGTTACACCACAAACGCCGGTCTTCCATCTTTGACTTTCAAGTTGGCTGCGTATTATATATCAGTATCAGTTAATTTCCCTAATATTGTCTTTTGCAACCCGTCATCTGACCTTTGGTCTTTTTGTGTTTTCAGAATTCTTCGTAAAGATTGTAACCCCTGGCTGCCTGCTGTTTGCCATAGCTATGGGCCTGGACATGGTTGGTCAAGCGCCCTTAGGCTGGACACTGGTCATTTTGAGCAGTGTGGTCGGCATGTACGTGCCTCTGTGCGTGTGTGTGAGCGACCTCTGGCACGGGCGACTCACGCTGGTGTTCTCAGTGGTTCTGTCGCTGATGTTTGTATGGACGGCCGGGCGGCTGGGGGTGGTGATGGTCAGCTATATGATTGGTGAGTATAACATGG